CCCCCCCCCCCCCCACGACAGCACCTCGAAGGCGACAGAAGGGCGCTGGGTAACACGCTCTGTAGTCTCAGCAGCACGGCAGCGCTCGCAACATTTCACCCTTCTGCTGTAAAGGCAGAACTGCAAAAAGCACAAAACCCCCGGATGGCTGCTCTTGCCCCGAGTAACTCCTTAACCTCAAGTGCATTTCTACCAGGGATGATTTTAGGCTACATTTTTTAAAAAAGCAAACAGGAAAGAAGAGATTTTCACTGAACTACGCGCAATCTTAAATGACATGGCAGATGTCAGCCTTAGCTGTTATTTTCAGCTTAATGCAGATAACGGGACACGGGGGCTTCAAAGGAAATTAAAGAAAAACAAATTCAAAACAGACGTCAGGAAGCACATCTTTATAGGAGGAACCACTGCCGCACAGGCAATGCTTCAGGACCGGGAGTAATTCAAGAATCAATTAGATGGCATCCTGGAGGGACGGGACATTCGAAAGAGGAACATAAAGTCTGGCTGAATCAAATGGCTCTTAGTTGTTCCCAGTCCAGGTTTTATGTAGTTTACGGGATTCTGTGATTCCAGAGAATGAAAACAAAACTAAGCAGCAAACCCACAACTGCAATGCACCCTTACGGTCACGTGCTCGAAGCACACGGAGCTTCTGGACATGGCTTGGTAGCTCAGAACGACAACCAAGCCCTATTTTCTGCGACCTGAGCTTCCAGGTGAGCCTGACATGGATTCTTAGGAAGTACATTACCAGGTATTTCTCACTCTCCAAAAAAGATGTAGCTCCTTCTCTTCATAAAAAGAATTCGTTTGCTTCCTTGTTGTGTATGTGCTATTAATTCCTACTTTTTACCTAGTTAAATAGACACCCAGGAAGTTTAAGTGACCTGGTAGAAAACGCATCACTTCTCAACAACAATCAGGAACTGAAACCAAAGCACCTTACTTTCTGGCCTCCCTGTTTCTTGAGCTACATTTGGACATTTGGCCAGTTTCTGTTAGCTTTAAGCACATTTTAATTCCTATTTGGATGAATATATAACACTGACAGAGCCAAAAGCAAAAACATTTAAGCAAGTCATAAGCAAGACATCAGTAAACCACTGAATGCTCCTTTCTGCTGCATCACGTCGGCACTTAAAAAAAACAGCTTTCAAAACAATCATTGCTGCGAAAGTTGGAAATCTCAGTTCTCTGAGAGCAAAAGAAAATCAATGATAATTAAGCTCTTCTGTAAACGTAGCATTAACTCTCAGGAGTGCCATTATAATGCAACATTGTCCAGAAGTCAAACCTCTATTACAAAAAAAACACGCAGGCCATTTTCTGGGAGAAGACCAGATCAAATAAATCTTTATTTTTCTAACCTTTGTTAAGTTGCAAGTCTCCTTTTTTGGAAGAAAACTGAACTAACAATCTCTGAATAATCGGGAGCAAGCGTTTTCGTCAGACAGGGGTGTCCAGTGAATACACAGTACTCATTCAAGACGTATCAAATAACGTAACTGAAAAAATCAGAACGGGGAAGGGTTCCAAAATATATGTCTGCTTTGGAGAGGGGCTTTTTATTTTTAATTTACCTAATGTCTACACTCAAAATTCTGTATGACTCTGTATGGAAAAAAGATTTGACTCCGTATGTACCAGGGATTACAATGTGGGAGAGAGCAGCTTCTTAAGTTAAACTCAGCATAAAAATTTGATGTATTTGACCACGTGGTTTTTTGCTGCTCATAAATTTGTTTGCGTTTCTCTTTACATAAAACTATCACATTAGCTTTGTTGTGAACTTATGATTGTGTATGGAAATACCACAATATTAGCTACCAAAAATGAAACTGTTTGAATTGTTGCTATTGTTTGACAACGTGCAAAACACTTACATCATGGAAAACACAATGCTTGGTTTGCAGCGAGCTCCCAATTCATCAGTCATTCACTTTTGCTCACGTATGTACCTATTCTAACAGGACAGCAACCAAAGCATGTTTTTTGCCAAACTTTGTTGAAAGCGACTGCAAAACACCAGGAGAAAATACTGGGGGAAAAAATTCCCACTTGGTCTTCCATGAGAAATACTCCTTTGGATACCTGTACACACGCACGCATGCTCACACACGTTTTCTTCTGAGTTGCATCCAAATTTCAGACACTGCCTTAAGCAGGAGTCCGTTTGTGAGACCTGTGCGTGGAAGGGACGCCTGGGCGCAGGGTGCTGGCCGGGGGGACGTGCAGGGTGCCCCTTTGCACAGATCAGATCGCTGTGGCCACAGCTAGCAGGGAAGAGCACTCCGGCTTCTGCCTCAGACACCCAGCTGAGTGGGTGCAGCAGCGGCCGAACGTTCCCCCCGATCACTCTTTTTAACTTTGTGATTTAAGGTAGGACGCTCCCTAACTTCGATTTCCAAGCAGATACACTACAGGGCTTTTCTGTTCTTTCCTTTTTTGATCCACTACTCCAGGCACCTCTGCTACGCATTAGGAAAAGAAAAAAAAAATCCAGCTCGACCCAGCAGTTCACTCGCTGGCAAGCCCTTCAAACCAGCCCGGCTGTCAGCGCCGTGCAGCACCTTCAGCCGTCCTTGAGATGAATGGCTAACGTGAGCGTGAAACAACCCCGCCGATCGGAGCACTCCTTCGCCAGCATACAGCTAAATATAAGTGAAGTGTCTCTCTCCAAGCTGCCAGGCCTGATTATTTTTGTCTGGTACACATAATATACAATCCCATGAATCGATGTATGTAACGCTACAGCCCTGCGGTATTATGCTGGCACAGCTTTACAGAAGGGGAAAAAAAAACAACAGCGCGGTGAATGAGGCGTGTGTTGGGGAAGGGGTTTTATCGGGGGACAACATCACCTGTACGGCTGCTCTCCAGTGTGTGTCCGCAGATGCCTGGTCAGGTTTGCTGAGCGCGGGAAGATCTTCCCACAGTACCTAGACAGCGAAAGCCAAAGCAACCGTCAGCGTGAGGAAGGCCGGCCACCCCGCACCGGTCACAAACACGGTATCGCCAGCGACCATCGGCCTCACTCCTCTGGTACCGCCCCCACAACGTGGAAGTCCCTTGCACCCTAACAAGGCTGGGCACCCACCTACTGGGGAGGGAAGCCGTGGGGGGAGGAACTAACAGAGCAAACCCAGCCAGTGCAAGGGGAGCTGCCGCGGCGAGACACTGGTGTGGCCCATCTCCACCAGCGACACAGACTGGCAGTCGATCACCACGTCATCGGGAAGGGCCGGAGAAAGAGAAATCCCTGTGAGGACACCCAGTTACGCCCCAAATGCTGGCTGACTTTGTAGCTTATCTTGGAGGCCTGGGCAAGTGTGCAGGAACCCGGGGATGGAGCGACCCAGCCCCAGCACATCCTCCCAGCTGCCGTCCGCAGGTGAAGACCCTCCTGAGCCCCAGGCTGCGCAGCCGTGTTCAGTACCCTTTGGCTGAGTTTATCTCTCTCAAAGTTTTTCGAATGCACGTAAGCTTTGGCCACCTGCAGCCGGCCACGGTTCCTCTGCCGAACGCCGCGCTGTGTGAAAGGGCCTCGTGCTCCTCTGAGCCCGTCACTGCCTCGCTCCTGCCTCAGGACGAACAGTGTTTAGTCGCTGCCTACGCGTACTGTCCTTCACTTGAAATTTTTCTAGCTCTCGTTTACAGCCCTGTTCAGCTGCTTATCATACAGGAGCTACTCGATCGTCCTTCTCGGAATTCACCGATTTTTCTTCTGGACAAACGCGGCAGCACTGCGTTGCTGTGATCGGGGGACACTGCTGTGAGCCTGACAGTCTGCTCAGAATAAGGAAATAGGCAATAGGAAACGAAATCCGAGAAGGAACTGTGTTCCACAATAAACCTCATCCACAGTAAACTCAAAAGGAAGGGAGGCATGGATAAAAACATTAATTGGGAAATAAAATATTAAGGATGTGATACTACATTCTGTGACTAGGAAGCCTGACGCTTAATGTTGTGCAAGGAACACGTGATTAGACTTTCTTGATCTGAGACATTCAGCACCTTCAGATGTCCTTGAGATGAATGATTAACGTGAGTGTTAATCAACAATGAAAATCCAAATATTGACTTGCTAATGTATATCTAAATATAAGTTTAGCCCCTAGTGTAGGCAGAAACCTCAAATGTCTAAATACTCCACTGAAATTTGAGCCCATAGCCTTCGTGGACATAAGAAATGCATCAAACAGAATATGCACCCACTTACTGCACCCAAGAAAAATGCAGCGGGAGCCACCACGAGCACCTCCAGCAGTCGCCAGTAAAACTGCGTACGGAGACACAGGTTTTGATACCCCAGCGATCTGCTCCGATACCAGCTGCAGTGGATACGCAAATAATTGTGTGGATACAACTCTGTTTGAAAACTTGGTTTACTGTGTGGCATTTTTAAAATTGCAATATTTTGCACGGCTGCGATCGGACATAGCCGAGATCGCACTCGCTTTGGGAACTGTGACATTTGCCACCACACACAAGAGCTTGGCTCGGAGAATTCGGCTTGCTTGAGAATCTCCAGATCTGCTCCCAAGGTTCTTAAAAATTACAAAGAAAATAGAAGACGCTGATTTTCTACCAGACAAAACAAGCTATTTCAGAGTGAATTAGTCATCAGAATGCTCTGTTCTAATTCTGCTCCTTCTTGTTTTCCCTCCCCCCCCTGCCGAGACGGCGGAGACGTCCACGCGAAGCTGCGC